GCAAATTATATTAAAATTAAGCAAGTACTTCAACGTATTACAAGAGATAAAGACATAGTTTTTATTATCCCTTTACAATTATATTCGATTACGAAAATCGTCACCCAGATGAAATGACAAATAAATTAGTTAAAAATTTGTCAACTTATATCCCATATTTGGGAAGGTTCCTACACCAATATTATTCAAGCTCCTTTGGGCCTATACTTTGCAGAAAGCAATTTTGCAATGGTCGTCAATTGAATATTTGAAGTACCCTCGTATATAGAGCCTGCGAATATAAAAAATGTACATTTGAGCGAGAGTCCATCAAATGAAGTCAAATAAAGTTAAAATAGTAATATTACCAATTTTTGCGTCTCTATAATATTTCTCAACTGCAACAAACAAAAATCAGTTGGCGTTTTCGTTGAAAGCCAAAGGAAATAAATAAATCAATAAAAAATAAATAAATAAAACTATGCTTACCTGGAAATTCTCTGGTGAACCCTACACCTCCCATCAATTCAATCGCTTTTGATGCGACCTATTTAGCGCAATATTGTTAATATGGCAATTACCATTCAATATAAAGAATACTTGAGATTTTAAACTGACCCGTTCTGCAATTTGAGATGAATATAATTTGGCCATTGCGGCTTCTTTAATAAAATCTTTTCCTTCTTGTCTTAATCTAGCTGCATTATATGTCAATAATCTAGCTGCTTCAATTTCAGTGGCAGCTGTAATCCACAAATATAATTATTTTTAACTGACAATAATAAAATAAAAATTACATTTATTTTAATAACCTTGCGCATATTGATGTTGATTTGCCTAATAAGTAGATATGTATACGTTATTCCAACAAGAAATATTTGAAATTTTGGAGTATATTAAAAGTTCAATGCCTGTTGTGTACCTGAAAATCTCCAATATAGGAACCAAATGCTTTTCTTTGGAATAAGTAAGGTAACGCATTATCAAGCGCACCTTGGGCTAGACCTATCATCTGAGCTGCTATTCCAATACGACCCTCATTCAAGATTTCAATAGCGTACTTGTAGCCTAAAAAACAAATTTCAATGAAGCACGTATGGTAAACTTCTTTGTGAACATCGAGTTATGTCTACCTTTAAACTCCTCGCCGAGTAAGTTTTCCTCAGGAACCTAAGCAGAATAGTCGATAGGTCTGATTTGACTAATAATCAAGAAAGTATCTACAAAGAGTTGATTATACCTTTACATCATCAAAATTCAAAGTGCATGTCGATGAAGCTCTAATACCAAGCTGTCAAATAAAAATATTATATATATCTGGGTAAAAATCTAATGGCATCAAGTATTTATCGAAGATATTTAAAGACAAACCTTAGATTCCTTTTTTGCAACTTTAACACCCATATCCTTTTCTATAACAAAGCATGTTATGCCCTTATAATTCTTGGAGGGATCTAAAAAAAATGAAATCGCATTACAATAATTCATATTTTTATTGAACAGTATATAAATATGAATTAGCAAATTAAATACCTAAATTAGCAAAAACCAAGAAGATTTCTGCTTCCGCGGAATTTGTGATCCACATTTTCGAGCCATTAATAACATAATGACCGTTTTTTTTTTCAGCTCGCGTCTTCAGTGCAAAAGCATCGCTACCGGCAGCAGCTTCGGAAAGGCAAAAACAACCAACCT